TGAATTGTAATGTACAATTGTATTGAGTGATCTATTGTGAATGTGACGTGTCATGAGCGACGGACTATGTTACAGTCTTTGAGAGTGTGGGGACTGTTCGCGCTCGTTTGTGTGGTTTTGAATATTATGAGATAATATTCTTACAGTGGGGGGCAGTGTCACAGAACGAGCGCTCAAAAAGGGCGCGCCGCCAAATTCTCGCGACGAAACGCCAGAGTGACGCCGCGAGGTCAACGATAAAAAAAAAAGAAAACAAACATCCAAGGCTCCCCGGGCGCGCGACTCTCTCCCCTCGGAAGCGTGGCTTCGCCGACGAACCTCCTCACCCCACATCGGCGGCCGAGCAAGCACTCGAAATTTCTCGATGGAAAGAGGCGTGGTGACGCCGGGTTGAGTCATCCGTCGCGGACGGCCCTCGTACCGTCTCGCGCTTTCCCCCAGCCTTCGCTGCGCATCGCGCCGACGAAATGATGAGAACTTTCTGGAATGTCGCGCGGAAGGTATTTAACCGAGCAGCCGAGACGAGAGATCAGGAGAAGACGGAACTTAGCGCCAGAGCGCGTAGGGATTCCGCCGTGCAGTCGGCGAAGGTTTTGTCCGTAGAGACAAAGCAGGAGACGAAGATGATTTCCACCTGAGGGGTGACGACTTGAGCTACAGGCAAGAGTGTGTGTTTACCGCAATCGAGCGAAGACGCGTGGCAACAGCTGCGTGTGTGAAGCCGACGTGTTTCCGGCGAAGAAGTTTGAAGCTTGAAGAGTGGCCAATTGAAGACGCGAGGTTTCCTGGAAGAGAAACTTCGGGGGCAGCGGAACGACAACAACGCTGGACTTTGAGTGAGTGATTCTCGGAAGAGTATCATCCAGACTTTTGGTTCCAAGAACTTTGGACTGAATAGGTTTTCTACCTCTTTAGTCTTTAAGTGTCTTGGTTGTTCAATGCACGCGACTGCATTGTAGTGTGTATTGTTGTCTGTGTCCGTTGTTTCGAGTGTGGCTGATTGTACTGTGTAGTACGTTGTTTGATTGGTGACATATTGTATGCAACTATTGTGGTGTGTGCATTCTTGTGTATTGTTTTCGATCTGCCATTATTGAGAATATAATTTTGTTTGTTTATCAACTCTCGGCTCTGACTTGTTCTTTGGGCCACAGCCGGGGTCCGCTGGCGCGCCAAAAAGGACCACTTTTAAATTGTCCACGCTATCGTGGTGCGGTTCGGGGGGCCGATACTTCGGCCCTTGGAATTAGCCCGGCGATCGCCTCCCTAATTAACGGGACCTGTGACAACATGTAAGTCCATGCACGGCACAATTTGCGTCTGCCTCGTAACTTAGAAGTGTGGCAGCTTGGGCTAGTTGGTATGGCATGACGATAATTATAGCGCGAGAACAAAACGACGACACTTGTCTCTGTGTCGTCGTTCGGAGCTTCGGTGCTGTGCCGTCAGCTTGGTGCGCTAAAACGAGACGCTCGCTGTGCGAAGTTGCCTTTCGGCGATGGAAGAAGCGGCCTCACGGAAGCGTCGGCGTGTTCCGAAGTATTGTTGGGTTGTGGGTGCCAAAACAATCCAGACAATACCAAGGAGGAGGAGGAGGAGGAGGAGGAGGAGGAAAAACCTTTATTGATGCTGGCTGTGCCAGATAGCCCTTATCCCCACCGGGCTGGTTGACATCTCTAGTCTGGGACGTCATTAGTCGAGGCCGCCACCCGAGCCCGCTGGACTAGAGTTCGCTGTTCCTCTAGTTTGAAGCTATTGACTATAGGGTCGTCTCCCAGTCCTCTTTGGTGGGGTTGGGAAAAGGGGTTAATTTTGGGTTCATTTGGCAGGCCCAGACCATATGTTAAGTGTTGGCCTTTTTCCCACAATACTGGCACTGCCCGCTTATTTTTGGGTCGTAATATTTGAGTATGACTGGACAGAGCAGCGTGTTTGTCTGTAGGCGCCGCAGGACGCGCTCCTTCGTTTTCGAGAGTCCCTCCGCTGGTGCGGGATACAAGCGGCGTTGCTCAATGTAGTATTCTTTGATTTCTCGAAACCGTGTTGAAGGTGTGGGACGTTCAGGTCTATCAGGGGAACGGGGTGTTTCCCGGGAAGTAAGCACGCGGGTCGCTGCATGTGCAGCCTCGTTACCCTGTAGACCCTGATGTCCCGGAGTCCATTAAGACGTTTTGGGGTAGGATCGCGGTTCCTGATGCTGAATTTTAAAAGTCTATTAGCCAATGGAGAGATTTCTCCAGCAAGATAGCTCTCGCAGGCTCTTCGAGAGTCTGTAACTATTTGTTTTGAGTTTGGGTGGGATACTGCCAGTGCAATGGCCACCTCCTCCGCCTTACTTGAGCTTGTGGCTTTGAAAGTGAGGTCGTCCATCTGCGTTCCTCGATGTTTTACCGCCGCCGTGTAGTATCCCCTAGGTGACGGCCCGGCCACATCGACGTAATAGACCCCATTACGGGAGCCAAGCCGTTGTTCAAGTGCCTCGGCGCGCGCTTGACATCTAACCTGGTGCGCCTCCCTGGTCATATTGCGGGAAGCGGGGACACCCAGAGTTTTGTTCTCCAAAGTTCAGTAATACGCTCCACGTTTTCGATTTCGCATTTGTGCTGGATCATGAGGCGGTCCAGTAGGCGCCGCCCGGGGGGCGTCTGCTTAAGACACGTATATTGATTTGTGAGGTGGGCTTCTTGGAGCTCTTGTATAGAGTTAAAGACTCCCAATGCAGAGAGTTTCTGATTTGAAGTACTGATGGGTAAATCAAGTGCGCGCTTAATTACTTTCTTAAGTATAGCATCGACTCTGCTCTCTTCGTGTTTAGTCATTCGTAAGTACGGTAATAAATATAGAATCCTGCTAGTTACAAAAGCATTGGCGAGTCGAATCGCGTCCCTTCCTCGTAGCCCCCCGCGCTTGTTTGACACTCGGTGGATCATGTGCCCTACCTGTTCTCCAATTTTCCGTACCTTGTCTAGCGTAGTGCTGTTTTTTGTTCTGTTGTGAATCAGAAGGCCAAGGATTCGTAGTTCTGAAACCTCTCGTATGGTTGATCCTGATACCATCAAGTTTAGGGTCGTCCTATCTTTAATATTTTCTCTGATATGCAGGAATTCAGATTTGGTTGGAGCGCACTGCAACCCACACTGGGCCGCATAGTCCTCCACAATGGAGGCGGCCTGCTGCAGACGGTCTTCAATTTCTCCTAAACTGCCCTGATTCGTCCAGATTGTTATATCATCGGCATATATTGCATGATATATTCCTTCCACTACTGCCAATGCTTGCGGGAGCTTCATCATGGCAATGTTGAATAGCAGCGGAGATAGGACAGCTCCTTGCGGGGTTCCCCGCGTCCCCATTTTGAATGGTCCATGTTCCTCGTTATCTATGCGAATGAACGCCAGTCTCTCAGAGAGGAAGTCTCTGATGAGGTATTTTCTTACCGCAATGGACACTACTAAAGTTCTTCAGGATGCTTTCATGTTTAACGTTGTCGAATGCGCCTTTAAGGTCGTGTGCAAGGATTGCTCTGTCGTTGTGCGTCGAGGGAATGGGTTGGATAATGTCTCGTTTTAATTGCAAGAGGATATCTTGCACAGACAGGTGTGGCCTAAAGCCAAAAATGGAATCTGCGAAATGCCCCTTGCTCTCGAATACCAAGGGACACTCTCCACGTGTAAAGCTGTTTCGGTCCCCCAGCAAAGTCACAACCGGCTAACAGAGCCGCGTTCATGAAAGATAGAGCAAGCGTGACATGAAAACCGGAAAAATTGAGGCGAGCACTTCAACTTGACTCGTAGTGGTTCAAGCTCAGCTTTCTGCTTTGCGGTGAAGTCAGCGGGTCATGCTCCCGTGGCACGGAGGACATGACTCAAAAACTTCCCGGACATTTAATGCTATGACCTTATAACTTTGTTTTTTATTTAATTTTAGCGCGCCGCAAACGTTTGCACATGACAGTACACGGCTGCTACTGCTAGGTACCACATCAAACCAACAATTATATGGTTTTCAAAAACGTCAACTCTGCACATCGATAGAGTACGCGGCTTCATGTCGGCAGAATGAGACTCACCTCGAGGCATACGTCGTACACGGTACTGTCACGGGCCTGAGAAACGTATTTCACGAGGACTCGGGCGTCCTCGTCTTCCGTCGTGTGCTCCACATCATTAACTTTACTAACGAGCTTTACTCCTTTTGTTAGATTCGCTTCTCGGAAGTACTTATCCACCTCAGAGATCTTTACGAAGCCGCATTGCAGGTGGTACATTATGAAGTGACTCAAACGCACCGCGTTCTCTTAGCACGAGCACGTAAGCGAGAGGAAGCACGTCTGCGGGATGAGAAAACGCGCAATTTACCATCGCCTCTGAGATTGCGGGTGCGCGGCGTCCCCGCCACGCCCGCTATCTCGGAGGCCATGGATCTACCAACGTTTCTAGAAGTAGTTCTAGAAACGTTGCGATATACATCTTAGATTTCTATTTTCTACCGTAGACGGCGCTGCTTGTCCACAGTCGCAGCGCCACCACATGTTGCTTTGCATCCTGTAGCAACAACCAGTAACGTTGAGCAAAAAGCGGGGGCGCGTGCTTATCCTCGCCTCTAAAGCCCCTAGCAACCGGAGCAGGTCAACACCCTCTAGTAAAATGAGATTTTGGTGGAGTAGCGGTGAGCGAGCGGAGAGGAGGAGCACGCTCTAGCATGTGGGGGCGCTCACATCGCGGGAGCTTGGCGGTATTTCCACGTGTGCAAAGAGGGTGTAAGAGAGAGTAGGTGAAGTGCTGCGCCACTCCTCTCACAAATCGCCCTCTTTCCTCCTTGCGCCCCACTCTCCCGTCCGCTCGCTCGTACGTCGCTTGTACGTATATATATATATATATATATATATATATATATATATATATATATATATATATATATATATATATATATATATATATATATATATATATATATATATATATATAAACAGCGTGGGCATAGCAGGTGCACCAACTTACCCGGATCATAAACTGCCCTCGAATTGCACTGCCCACGGCATTCGGCAAGACCTGGTATGACCTCCGTGTTCGAGCAAAACCCGTGCTCGGGATCACTCAGGAAGAAGTACTGAACTGTCTGTTGTTCGCGTAGTATATGGGGTGCGCAAGTACCTGCGTCGAAAAAAGAAAAGAACGCTTAACACAGTGCCTTAGGTAGTGTATGGTTGTATGATAGGAAGCTGTTTACGTGTGTTCTTGTATTTGGGCACGAGTACGTATGCCAAGATTTCTGCGTGTATTTGTCCATCGGAAATGCCATAGGCCCGTGTGCTCAGATTTGGACGCACGTTAAAGAACACCAGGTGGTCGAAATTTTTGGAGTTCTCCACTACGGCGTCTCTCAATTTCATATGGTGGTTTTGGGACGTTAAACCCCACATATCAATCAATCATTTGTTCATTTCCTTTGTATAACACACTTCATTTTTTCTCCGTTTCCCATGAATATGCACCCGACGAACCACGTCGGGTGACGTAACGAGCGTGCTAGAAACCTTTTCAAGATGTAGGGCAATTGGGTAATCACGTCGTATTCGTAGAGGCCGCCAGATGTGGGAAGGGGATCAGGGGAGGATCCAGCCACTCATTTTTTTATGGGGGGGGGGGGGGGGGGGGTCCGCTAAAGTAACACCGGGGCCATGACCTTTTTGTTTTTAATAACAGAGAAGCAAAAATACTGGTTATGTGTGCTCACCGTGGTTTCACTCATTTTTCTTAATCAATTGGTGAGAGGAGGTGGACTACAAGCACTGAATTGAGGGGGAGGGGCACTGATAGATTTTGGGGGGGGAGCGATCGCCTCTCACCCCCCCCCCCTGGGTCCGCCAATGAAAGGGAGAACGATGATAGTTATAGCGCGAGAACAAAACGACGACACAGAGACAAGTGTCTTTCGTGTCCTTCTTGTCTCTGTGTCATCGTCTTGTTCTCGCGCTATAACTATCGTCATGCCATACCAACTAGCCCAAGCTGCCACACTTCGAAAGGGAGAAGCTCGCACGCAGCTGTGGTCATCGATCACACGGGCAAATGCCTCGCGAGTGCCACGGTGAACACGGAACACACGTAGGCGACCGAAGAAGCCGCGATAGCCTTAGGGCCTGACCTGGCGTACGCGGCGCAGCGCGTTGACTCGTGTCCTTTTGACGCGGTGTCGAGCTGAGAGAGAGAGAGAGAGCTTTCGGCTTCGCGTAGCCAGGCGCCGCGTGAAAAAGCCTCGCGCCGACGCGCTGCGACGGATACGTGGGGTTCTCGCCGCAGTGCCAAAGGCTGCGATCGTGGTTTGCGGTTTCGTGCGCGGCCATGTCTCGAATGCAGGAAGCGGCCCGCATTCTTGAAATGTGTGGCAGCTGTTGGCGATTAGACGTCGGGCTCCCAGATTCAATTTCCGACCGTCCCGTGCCGCACGGGCAGAGAAAATGGCATTTACCTCCTAATGCCTTCAGATTGAATGTCATTCGCGTGGTGCCACACGGATGAACGAAATGGCGTTGTTTTCCCAAATGCCATTCGTCACCTAACGTCATCAGCAGAACTCATTGGACTGAGCAATGCGTACTGTCGACGGCACAGCTGATGAAGTAATTGTATAAAACGACATTTTATTCGACTGGAAGGAAGCTTCTCGCGTCTTTAATTTACACGAATCACTTAAAAAAGTGCTAAAAACTTATCTTCAGTTGCTAGACGCTGTAAAATAAATGCGACAGGCGCCATTTTCTTTTTACGCTGTGGATCTGACCAGCTTTGGCTGAAGTTACTACCTGGTCGGTTGCAACTCGTGAAATAAAGTAACGAACGAAATCTAACGGCAGCGTGATGTGCTTATTTATACATTTATTTATTATTTGATGTGTACGAAGCTTGTAAATGCTTGTTTATTTTTTTATTGCTACTCACCCAATGCTCACGAGGAATGTGCTGCGATCGACATCACCAAGTCAAATGTCATTCGCTTTGGACGTGTAGCAGCACCGCCGTAAAAAATGTCATTCGGGAACTGAATGCCTTCGCTACCGAATGTCGTTTTCTATGCCCGTGTGGCACGGGCACACACCCCCGTGCCGCTCGCGAGAAACGAGGTGGCATACGCCTCGGCTCGAGGTCTCATTCGCTGAGCCGCAGCACAATACGTGACTGCCTCCTGCGACTCCGATAACGAAGTTTTGGGTCTGCTGGATCGACACACGTGGACAGGCACGCAGCAACAAGAGTCACAATGGTTGTGGGGTGATAGTCTTGCGAAGTTTCCAGACATTGCTCAAAACTATAGGCTCGAAAAAAGTATATTCCGAGCATCGCACGATAAATACACACAAAAACTCGTGCGTGTATGCACCGCAGCAATTGACCATGCCCCACTACCGAGTACAGCGGATGCGAGAGAAAGCGAATACATTAGAGGAACATGTTGGAGCGAAGAAGAGTGAGGGAAAGCGGTGGGGGAGCATGTTGGAGCCTGGGGTGGGAGAGAGTAAAGCCTACAGAAACGAGGAGTTCTAATGCGGAAAAGGTTAGGAGCACTGACACGAGCGTGCTCTGGTGCTAGGTGCGGCTTGGCCGAATGGAGCGCAGAAAAAAAAAAGAGGAAAGGAGGTGGGAAGTGGACAGAAGGAGGAGCTGAATCAAGTTAACCCGCAATAACTTTTTTTTCCGAAGAGGCTTTCAAACCAGGGCAGCCAGAGTTCGAAAGCGAGTGTCGTGACCAATAGGCTATCCCAGCGCAGTAGCTCAACAAGCATTGTTGGGAATCCTACAATTACATTGGTATTGACGAGAGAACTAGCAAGAGATAAGAAGGAAAAGAAATAAAGAGAGGAAAATAAATTGAGGAAGTAATGCAAAGAAGGAAAAACAAAGCACATCATAGCCATGTACACTGTAGAGCAAAGGGCCCGGTGTGGTGGCCGCCAAGTGGACTGCGGGTACGAGCCAGCTTTCGGCCAAAAGCTAGACGAAACGTCGTCCCGCAAGCTGGCTGGCGTGACAGCTGGACCTCAGCCGTTAAACCGGGTCATGTTGCACATACATCGGGTCATCGGCTCATTTATAACAGTTGAAAGCAGGGAAGCTAATATCTTACTCTTCGGTCGCCAGAGGGAGTCAAAAAATAATGACGACCTTCGTTCAACGAAGGATACCAGGATTAAGCTTCCTTATAGGAAATAGAAAGTACGTCTCACCTGGTTTAACGTTGCACTTTTTGCAGCATCCGGTCTCATCGCACACTGTGCTGTTCTGTAAGGTTACACAACGAGGTTTTCAGCTATTATTACCGACATATCAGTATGCTTACGTGCCAAAGTTATCGCGTGGGGCGAGCTTACCCTTGCGCAATGGCATGGTAGTTTAGGGCACTTCCTGGGCATGTAGCGCATTTCCACAGCACCGCGGTAACCGCGCACGCATTTGACCTCGAAGCAGGGCCTCACGTTGGAGACCCACGTCTCGCCAATCTGCGGGATTCAAGCGTAGCAGAAAATTACACTTACACTAAAGATGTGTCCTGCGCGAGAGATGCCTCTTGCGGTACACGGAGAGTGAACCGCAGGACGCGTGTAAGGAGAATGCGAAGGGGTTGGTTAAAGTACGTAAACCAGAGGCGCTAGTATATATTTTTACCAAACGGGGGCGAGGGTGAACTTTTTTCATGTTTATCTGTGCGTGCTTGTATATACACAACTCCAAAATTAAAAAATTTCAGGGCAAGGGAGATCTTCTGAACGGCCCCCCCCCCCCCTTTCCCTGGGTATACGACAATGGTGTATACAATGATTGTATGGAATAAGCCACGGAAGGACACGTTCAGCACCTTAAAATTTAATGAAACTTTCGAATAATACAGAAAAGAACTGCCTCGAGATAATTACACATTTGGTCATCAGAGGGCTATAAGGACTGTTTAATCTAACTAATAATGAACTCGGTTGGCATTACAGAAAAATAATGTGAATTTCCCCTGATGTGAGTAGGGAACTTTTTGTGCATTGGTGGGTAAACAATAACTGGCCCCGATGGACTCAATATCATCTCTTTCTTTCTTTTTCTGCCCTCTCTTTCTCTCATTTAAGCTGATGCAAAAGCTGTTTCTCAGCGCTCCCAATTTTCTGGTCCCCATAGGGCCAACAGTCGCCTACCACATCGTAGCATTTGATGTCAAGCGTGTGGGTTGATGACTTCGACGAACCAACATATAAGATTTACCACAAAGCAGAGGACCCATTCAAAGAGAAACCACTAGTTATTTCCATTTACAGCACCGCTTATTCGTTACTCGATGTCAATGGCTATACCATAGTTCTCACCTGGTACACTCTCCCAGCTTCTTTGCAGTACTCGCAGCTACCACAGCAATCTCCGGAGCTTGGAGCAGCCTCTGCACGCTTTTCACTCTGAAAAGGAAACCCAGATGAAGAAACAAAATCAAATATAAAGATTGCACTTCGCAAATGTTGCGCTAGAGGATTTAGGGCACATTGAGCAACATGTGCAGTTTCCGCACGAGGAAGAGCCCGCAAATTCAAATGGTGAGCTGGTGCAAGGTTACTTATTTCAGAGAGAACCGATACGTGTGTAAGTTGCTGAATTTTCGTCTTGGTGACGACAGCGAAATTAAGATAACGATGAGAGAGTGTAAGAAACGCATGACACTTGGACCCATCGTTTGTAACTATGGGCGTAGGCTTCTTACGCTGTGCAAACACACACGCAGACCGAATACATTCTGATGTACTGGTAATTAAAAAAAGCACGAACTAAAATTGTAATGGTCGCAATTCCATGTTTGAATTAACAGTCCTCAGTTACAGTTTACATTGATGGGTGCTTAGGAAAAATGGCTTTATCGCATAATGTCTGACTCGCGTATTTTTCTTAGCTCGTGCACTTCGTAGCAGTTGAAACGGCAACGCATTTCGATTGGTTAACCTGAGTATTTTTTTACGGCAACAACAAGAGAGCTATAGAAACGAAAAAAAAAACCACGTTGTCAAAACTATACCGTCATTAGTGCTGTAATACCTAATATATTATAACAGGACTTGCCGTCAAGTAGGGAAAGATGATCGCACCGAAGGCCCACAGCAGGAGGGCAAATTTAACCTCCATTGTCCTCTGCTCTGAACGATGACGCGGAAGACAGGCGCGGTTTCCAGCCGCCTGTGTTGTACGTTACCAGAGCCTGCTGCGTGTATCCTCCCGTACATATATCCCACCCTCTCCCATGGGCAGTGTGGTTTGAAGCATCCTGCCCGGAGAGACGGTTACTGTATACTACACGGGCGTATCCAATGAAACAAAGTCCCTCTCTCTTTCCATACACAAGCTGTCGCACTCAGCCGATGTCATTCCGTTCGGGTGATGCCTGTATTTCTCCGACGTTTGCAACCACTTTCTTTCGGTGCTGTAATAAACGCGCATTCCATACAAGGAACATTGTTCGTGTAGAGAGGTGTACAATGGTGTTTTGACGGAGAATGAACGACAGGAGCACTACAGCTGGAGTGTCAGTGACAAATAGATGTGTCCCCTCCTTATTTTGGTTTACAGTTATTACACGTCAAATAATAAATATAATCATCACCTGTAGCACATACCCGCCTACTAGCGGCATATACCCGCGGTTGAGTATGTGCCACTGTCTGGCGAGAAGTCTTTGACGACGCACGCGACGAGATTGTGGCATTATTCATGTCTTGACCAGCGCGTCACATTCGTCAAACCATGTTACCCTTCCATGCTAATTTTGGTTCACGCCAAGTTAAGGGGGTGACCACGAGAGCACGCAAACGTAAGCGGCTACATAGATAGATAGATAGATAGATAGATAGATAGATAGATAGATAGATAGATAGATAGATAGATAGATAGATAGATAGATAGATAGATAGATAGATAGATAGATAGATAGATAGATAGATAGATAGATAGATAGATAGATAGATAGATAGATAGATAGATAGATAGATAGATAGATAGATAGATAGATAGATAGATAGATAGATAGATAGATAGATAGATAGATAGATAGATAGATAGATAGATAGATAGATAGATAGATAGATAGATAGATAGATAGATAGATAGATAGATAGATAGATAGATAGATAGATAGATAGATACGCTCAAAGTTGTCGAAGTTCGTTAAGAAATGCTTCGGATTTAAAACTCAGCCTTACAAATGATAATGCAATAGCCTGGAATGGGACATTCTGGCGTGGCTTGAGCAAAGTAGTATCACGCGCAATGGGCCGCCAACATAAAACAGAAAGAAAGGAGCGTGTGCGGCAATATCGGTGATAAACTATGTTTCATTATTATTGTAGGGAGAATAATTACGACAAACAAATACAGCAGGACAACACGATCATTTTCGCGATTTATGGGGCAAAATAGCACTACATTAGGAAGCTGTGGCAGTCTAAATGGAGTGGCAATGCTATGTTAGCGTGAAAAGAGCGATGAAGAGGAAGAAGGAATAGATATACTAAGAGACTGTTCGAGAGAAGAAGCGTGGAAAATATTAATTTCCGCATTAGTGTGGCTGGAATAAGGCGTTTATATTTTGTGTGATAATGCCTTGTGGGTACTGTTAATAATGGATTTAGATACGAAGATAGGTCAATCGCAACTTTGAGGTTGAGTCATCCACGAAATAACATATGACTACGATTGAAATATGCGCGAAAACCCATGATTTCTCGTTGAAAGTATACGCGCACAGTATACTATAGAGTGCTCGCGTTTCGCTTGCGTGGCGTCGCTGCGCCCAGCCTGCGCTTGCGCCAACGTTGAGTCGGAGTATATTGGGCCCTTTATGACGCGCTCGACGCCGTTGTGCTAGCTCCACATGTAGGAAACTTGGTATCACGGGAAGTGAATAGACGTCGAAGGTAAATGACACGTCCAAACCTAATAATCATCATATGCGTTTCATGTAAAACATGACTACATGCTATCCTCATAGCGTTCTCGCGGCCATTTCACTATCCACATATACCAAATTTGGCATTACGTGACGTGAATGGACGGTGAATGTAAATGACACATCCAAATATGATAATCATGATATGGACTTCATGTAAAACATGACCACATGCTACACTCATAGCACGCTCGCGGCTGTTTCGCTAGCACCATATATACCAAAGTTGGTATCAGATGTCGTTAATAGATGACGAAGGTAAATGAAGCGTCCAAACATAATAATCATGACATGAAAGTCATGTACGGCATAATTCACCTCCGCTTCTTAATGTTGTGCTGATTTTAAAGTCACCTATCACCTTTCATCATTCGTGCTTCGCATATCATCGATTCCCATGTACGTGGGATCTTCTAATTTTTGTTATTGAAAAATAATTAAGCGCTTTCATTGATCGGACAATTGAAGTACACAGGCCCCAATTTAGTTGTACGTGGTTGAAATTTCTGGAACCCTCCAGCCTGTCCTCCACTACAGCGTCTCTCATAATCATATCGTAGTTTTGGGAGGTGAAGCCCCATCAATTATTATTATACATATATCCGGACATTTGCCCAACGCCACGCGCCTCGAAAGCGACTCTACACACAAACGCCGTGCTTAGCTTCCTGGTCCCTGCATATAGCAGCTATAGCCCAAGATCCACTTCCTCGCGCGGTTCCAAATAACGTTCATTGTCCAATTGAATCTTATCCTGTCACACATGGCCCCTTTGTTAACCATGCCATACGTATATCTGGCGTCCACTCGTATCATTTAAAACCTTTCAGGAGCCCTCTTCTCTGAATTCAGTCCTATAAGGCGAAAATATTATTGCCTGGATCATCATGTCACGGGTGCTTTGAATCCAGTGGGCTTGGCCAAATAACCAAATCAAAACCAGTTTAAAGCAGCTGTTATAAGCTAATACAAGAACCATAATATAACTGTGAAACACTGCCTTCCTTTTTTTGTTCTTTTTCTTTGTCCATCCCACGAGTAATATTTCTCTGGGAACCTGAGTCAAGATTTCAAATATTACACAGATCTTCGGTTTTACGAGCCGACTACTATATGAAGCACGCCTTAGTCGAGGGCCCCGGGTATTAGAAAATTGCATGGTGTTGGAAGCGCACTGTCATCGTGCAGTAAACGGGATTCTGGTGTTTCGCCTCCATATAAAACGCTAACGTTACTGATAATAACTGGTAATCTGCGTATATTGTCTAAAATTGAAATGTTAAATCGGATGTGCTGATTGTGTTGTAAATGAATGTTTGGTGATTTCTGTAATGGTTATTCAGTTTTTATTCTTTCATGCATTGCTTTGTTATGAATATTTTTGTATGTATTGTAGAGTTATGATTCTATTATTTGCTGTCATGGGCCACATGCGTGTTTCTTTTTGTATTGTCGCTTTCCGCTGCCTGTAATTTTTGTATTTTTTTTGTAAATTTGTAGCTTAGATTTTTTTCCGGGTGAAGGGGCCAGTCAAGCTGTGAAATGCAGCTTTTTTCCCTTCGCACCAAACCACGTATACAGTGTATTTTCGTGTACTTGTCACGTGGTTGAATAAACTCAAACTCCACAAATCGTAATCGAACCCACGGGTTCGGTCCCTGCTCTGTTGATGTACCGAATGTCTCGCGCGAGCTTCGATCGGCACATCAGCAGAGCGCCGAAGCCGTGTTACACAACGGCGGACTTGAAATATACGAGTGACAACAGTGAAAGCCATGACTGCGAATATAACTGATTTCATTATTTGCTCACGTTAGTCGCATAATTGCAAGTCATGCCAGTAAGTGGGTTGCGATTCGAGAGCGAACTGTACTATCGGCGTCAAATGAAACCCGAACAGCGGAGCGTGTGTTTCAAGCATTAGAAACAGTATAGTGTTGACCATCCAGTCATCACCATTGACAGGCGTGCACATCCGGTTTGGCAGCACTGCGCGATCCGCCTACAGTGCGTTATCTCCGTTTCTGCTCTAGGGGGGGATGAACAACAATAGAGAAGGCAGGGAGGTTAACCAGGCACATGCCCGGTTCGCTACCCTACGCTGGGGGAATGGGAAGGGGACATAAAGATGAGAGAGAGGGGAAAGAGAAGAGAAAGAGAAAAAAAAATGATTGTCAGTCTATCGGCTGGCGCGTATCCAGCGGTGGCACTACACAAAAGTTAAAGGTTGTCACGTAGGCCTGTAGTCCTCAAAAAGCACAAAACAGCTTTGACTACTTTCTGAGCCGACGAAAGGCGAGGACGGTGTTCCAGTAGCATCTGCATAGAGAGTGGCCGATCGTCCAATTCTCGCAATGCGTCCGAAAGCTTCTGTCTTTCGGAGGCAAATAGAGGGCAATGGCATATCAGATGGTCCATGTCTTCTTTGGCGCAGCAGACGTCGCATTCCGTATTGTCGGTCAATCCGATGAGGGTTCTATATGCTTTTGTGAAGGCAACCCCCAACCAAAGGCGACAAAGAAGCGAAGCTTCACGTCGACGAAGTCCGGATGGAGGTCGAAGTTCCAGTCGAGGGTTTATTTGGTAGAGTCTCGTATGTCTTATGCTTGGGGTGTTCCACTCTTGCAGACACAGACTACGTGCCAGGTGACGAAGTTGCTTTGCAGCGTCAGTCCTTGACAAAGGAATTGGAAGGATGTGCTCTTCTTGGTGCGATGTGCGAGCGGCGTTGTCTGCAGAATCATTGCCACTGATCCCACAATGGCCAGGAAGCCACTGAAACTTGACCTCGTGGCCTGTTTCTGTGACGTGGTGAAGAAGCTTGACAACTTCGTAAGTTAACTGTTCATGGCAACCTCGTCGAAGGACTGACTGCACTTCCCACCACTTGTCAACCCTCGCTACTGAGAGGCCCCTCACGAAATTTAGTGCAATTGTCTGTGCACATCGTGCGTCGTTTACGTCAGGTTTTACGCCTGCTGAGAAACTGGTGTATCCTCCGTGGTGCCTGACACTTCCGCAAGTACGCATTTTCATTCAAGGAATACAGAAAAAATAAAATTTGCCTTTATCAGCCGTAAACCAATTGAGCTTGAATCTTCTGCACGAAATGTACA